TTATTATTATTATTATTATTATTATTATTATTATTATTATTATTATTATTATTATTATTATTATTATTATTATTATTATTATTATTATTATTATTATTATTATTATTATTATTATTATTATTATTATTATTATTATTATTATTATTATTATTATTATTATTATTATTATTATTATTATTATTATTATTATTATTATTATTATTATTATTATCATTGTTATTATTATTGTCATTATTACAATTATTATAATAATAATGATAATAATTATTATTATTATTTTCACATTGTCATTATTATCATTATTATTACTGCTATTATTACTACTAATACTATTATTATTGCCATTATTATTATCAATTTGCTGTAACGATAATTATTACCTAAATGAAAATATTTTTTTTGAAATATTTTTTTTTATAATTATTATCTAAATAATGCATTCTTTTTTGCGAATTTAAGTATTTGTGTTTTTTCCGATAGCAATAATTGCATGTAATCGTTTTTTTATGGCAGCGGACTTTTTTAAAGCTACACATTCTATGTTTTGTTTAATTTTTAAAATATTTCAGTAATTCTATGCTCTGCAAAAATTGTTGAATTTTCGAATGGCAATTGAAAACTTCGTTTTATTTTTTTTCTTTCGGATCTTCATGCGTTCATTCATTTTTTTTCTTTTTATTTTTTGAAATCGTGTATTTTTGTAACAGCGGGTATGTATAAACCAATAATGCGATAGACAAACAAAAAACTATTGGTTTTCGGATATTTAATTATGATATTTGCATTTATTAACACAATTACTATTAATCTTTTGTAAATTTTGACAATTTCTTCTATCCCCTTTATCATCTAACTTTGTCAGTATTTCGGCTTTGTATTCTCTTTGTTCTGTACTGTAATCTCGAAGAGCTTTTATCAATGATAAGATATTATCCGACTATTGCACTGCATCGATGGTCTAATTTAAATTTTTACGCGTGGCTCCGAATTTTACTGAACAACTATATCGATTATAATGCAGATTACGGTGATAAACAGATAGGTTGCCAGTTTGAGAGAATAATTAGAAATTATAAAAATTTAATCCTGTTACTCAAGTTAGCCAAATAGCTCTATTAGATCTTTTCGTAGGGAGAAGTTTCTCATTTGAATGGCAGATTCCACTATTTTTCTTTGTGTACTAACTTTATTTCCCAATAAAATACATCAGTGTTTGGTGATTGATAGTAGGAAAATTTACAGTTGGCCGAATCTCTTTTAAATTATCCGATACGATATATTGCGCCATACCTATCTTCAGTGTCAGGCGCCATAATAGTACTTATGATTTAAATCGGATTATGTACTCCTCCCTACTCTCCATTATTCCTTCCTTCTTTCAGATTCCCAAGAATTCGATTTCTTTTTCCTCTTCAAAATTGAATTAAAACAAAAATGAAATATTTAACACATAACTTCTCCCCATTATACCATCACAAATAATTGTTTGTTTTCGTAAATAAATCAGAAATGGTTTCAGATTTCGAAGATTATGAAAAATATATGCACAATCGAATGTATACATATATTAATCCCCCTCCTCATGAGCTGCTGTTGCTAATGTTATTTAATAATGATTACTGATAAACAAATGTATGTGTCTCTGTGCATGTTTTCATGTATATGTGTGGTTTTTTTTCTTCATTTTACCTTTTCTATTATTATTTTTATTACTGCAAATTCGTATTATTTTATTATTATTATTATTATTACTATTATAAATATTATTATTATTGATATTATTACATAATTACTGTAAATGATAAAAATTTTCTACAAGTCTTTTTGCAAAAATTCCATGGAAAAAATCTGATACAAATCATTTAAGGCCATTTATTTACTCTCCAATCGTAATGACTGCGTGACTGAAAGAGATGATTAATGTTGATAGGGCCGAAAAAGTGTAAGGACGCGTGTTCTGAATATAAAGTTTAGTACGAGTCAGATGTAGTATATGTCTGAGACTACAACCTCGTTCCAATAAGGTTAAAAAGATTGGGAAATCCGACTAGGAACGGATTAGGTTAGTCCGTTCATTGTCATGAACAAAGGAATGTTCTTTTTTTTCTTTTTTTTTATAAAATTATAGCTGAACAGTAACATCATTATCACGCATCGTACAAGTTGTAGCTAAGTTGTGGCAAACCGAACCCACAACTTGTAGCGAACCAGTCCTAACCTCTGCGTTCAAAGTGAGCTGGGAGCAAACCGGTAGCGTTGGGTGACGGTAATATCCACACCACTTTGCTCATTATGAAAGTTAGCGGATTGCCGGACAAGTAACTATAGAAAGGATTTGCAACAATCAGGACGAACGCTGCATGACTACGTCATGTATTGTGTGATCAGCTGGAAGAGTCGGCATAAAAACACAAACGCATTTGCTTAAACTGTAATGGATTGATTTGCGGGAATGGATTTGCGCGACAGAGATTTGTCCGTCCATAAATATTCTAGGTTATTTATAAATGTGAAAAGAAAAAGGGAAAAGGGAAGCAGATAGGTTGGACTGCTGATCCGTCCAAAAGGCCTGCTTATCGATTCCAGTGATCGTTTTCAAGGAAGTGAAGTAACTGAAGGCTATATACGCTTGTCTACATCCGGAAAGAGGTCACGTATAATCATCTCAAATAAAACTTTACGGAAACATTCGAGAAAAGAATGTGTGCAAGAATCTGAATCAGAATCTGTATATGAGTGTCTAATCGGAAGGGGGATTGCATGCAAAAATCAAATATAAGCGTTCATTCGGAAACCCGTATGTGAACATCTGGCGTTTCAGAGAAATTCAGAGTTTTGCTTAAAATTCTCATGAGATGTCATTATAATACAAGGTGGACGCTTCCACACTCAATCAGTGGGTGGTTGAGCTTGATTTCTAAATAAATTTATCTTCAGTTCATCCATGCACTTTCCTGACATCAGTGACATTACTCAAAACTATTTAAAAGAAAAAAAGAAAGGACGTCATCTTGACAGTAAGCCTCCAACAATGAGTCGCTATTGTATATGTACTAAATTATGAAGATAGACAGCCTGTGAAAATTCGCATGTGGTCCTAAACCATTGGTGAATTTTTTATTGCTCTTAGTACTTACGCCATTCCAACGTGATGCGTATGTGATGCGTATGTACGCTTTCATGAGATTGTATGATTTGTATGAGATTATACGCTTTCATGATTTATTCACGTAAATGAAAACAAAGATAATCAACCAGCTTAGGAGAGCATTTGCGAGCGAGTTACATACAGCGTCACCGTCACGTACACGTTGCTCGCTGTTTTAGGATTTTGTTCGTCGTGTAACCAATGACGTGACAGCTCTAGTAACGTAGTGTTTCTAGCACAATCAGATTTAGAGTGTTATTAGCGATTCGGAGGCTCTGGGAAAGAACGGATCTTATATATGATACTGATAAATGGTAGCATGATACTCATTTGGAGGACAAATGACTTTCAATGTTTGCTTACTTTACGATTGTTTTAAACCGCGAGTTTTTGAAAAAACATTTCACAACTTACCACAGATAGCAGTTCATCGCGTTGAGGACACTTTACAATCCGTTTTAACCTTTCAGTGATGAATTCTGATGGAAACGATGAAGAATGTTTGGTGGAACAACTCCGCAAAGAGTTGCGTGATTTGAGTAAGGAAAACACATTTACTGCTTTTTTAATGCTAACAGTTGAAATGTTTCGTACAATATCACATGAAATTTTAGATAATCAACAAGTTTCACTGATAATTATTGTACCATCAATTTCTAGCATGGGACGAGGAAGAGACAAAACAAACGTTGAAAAAACACCGATACAAAAACGAAGGTTTGCTCCGAGAACGTTTATGTTTGCATGAATGCAAATACTCTCTTTAAGGATTGGATATTTTCTTATCTTACAATTCTCTAGAAGCCGAGAAAGAAAGAAATGAAATCAAATTAATCCTGGAAAAAGAGGAGATAGAAATTGCCAAGAAGGAAGAAGAATTACAGCATTTCCGAGCACGAGTGCAGTTACGATGTGAAAAGATTGAGAAGTGCGTTATTTTTCATTCATTCGTCGCCATGTTTTTTGTCATTATCAGCAATATTAACTATTTCGTAATGGCGAATAGTGATATATAGTAATTTGGTCTCATTAAAGACTTTTTAGCGGCTTCTTTTTTTTTATGGTAGCGAGAGGTAGAAAGTTATAGAAAAATCATCGCGACAAATATTTGTAATTCCAAGTCTCTACATTCAAGATAAATAAGCGAGCTAGGAAGTGGTCATCGCCAAAAGACTATATTATCACTAAGTACCTGAGAATCGAGATTCGCCTACACATTTTTATTTTATAAGATTGTATGCAGAAGACTGTTTTTTATGTACTAATTACTATTCGTTGAATGCCATTACTGCAATCATTTGCCAATAAAATCATAACTTGACTAATGTGTGATTATGTTGCTTTACAGCATGCGCCAGCAGATCTTTATAAATCAGATGCGAAAGGCAGAAGCTGACGAACAAATTGAAGAACTGAAGAAGACTGTATGTCTTTATGACTGCATCTTTCGTAAGGCTTGCTCGTTTTTTTTACTGCTATAGCTTAATCTATGTTTTAGTTAGAAGAAGTAAAAGTGAAAGAAAAGGCCGACCAGCAACTCCTTACAAATCGTTTGAAAGCTGTTCAGCACAAATTACTAAATGCTTCTTGGGTTATTTCGCGTCGTAAGGTTGTGTTATTTCCATTAATAAGTAGTTTTCATTTTCCGTGAGCGAAATCATGCGAGTTAGAATCAATTTGTTGTAGGAGAAGGAGGAATTGGCAGATCTCTACAAACGCATTGATGAGGTTCGTAGAAAGAAAGAGCGACTTTTACAGTCCATTCGGGAGAAGGAAGCCATTTGTTTGTATTTAATTTTCTGTTTCTTTATTTGTTTTTGCACTATGTTGAATTTGATCAAAATAATTTGGGACAAAGCCTATTTTGAAGTTTTAAGGAAACAATTATTTGTAAGAACCACTTAATGTTGATAGAAATTTTCAGTTAAATAAGTAAAATAAAATGAAATAATTCTGTTGTGCATCAATTTTGTGCATCAATTTTTTTACGTTACTTTTTTAACATGTCTTTTGTTAAAACTAAGAAGCAGTGTTCATAGTTCTTTTATTACTGTTTGAATTTGACTTTTTTTTTGAAGTCGGTTTTTAGTGACAGAAAGCCGTGAGCTACCATTCACGAATTTCTGTGTAGCAATCGCCGCCATAACACTGAAAAACCGTACTCTTCTGAAAAAGTTGGCGCAAGAATATGTCACTATTGCACAGGTAATTAAATTACGATTATTGTCGAACATTCAAATTTAGAAACTATCGAAAATTAACGGTAAATATGATAGTCATCATGGAAATGCCGTAAGAAAACCACTACAAACACGATAGTTTTCGTGGCCCTTTTTTGATAGCTGCATTGTTCGGAAGCGTATAGGTCTTAATAAAATTATAGATGCGAACTTTTCTGGTGAATGCAGAATTTCTGTTTATGTGGGTTTCATTTTCTTTTCTCGAAAAAGAAAGTTCCTCAAACATCTTCTTACAATAAAAATGGAATGAAATTGATGGGCACCTTCGATGTTTTACATATCGTTACTAAAGCATAAGTATCCAAACGTTCATTTTTTATCGCTGTCCTAAAAATCCCATTAACTTTTAGCTCACTCAAGAATTATCAAACCAGGGAATTTTGGATACGTCGATACTCTCGCAATATAGTCAAACACAGACTAGTCAGGTTCAACCACTTGAGGTAAATTGAAATTTTTTAAAAAAAGCTCGTCAGAAAGTTCAATATATTTTTAGATTATGAATTTGTTTCGATTTTATTAAATTTATTTCTGCAGGAACAGAATACCGTTCCTTTTTCAAAGTGTTTACTTGGTATTTCGGTTGGTATGCTACTATTTTTCGTGTTTTCTAAATATATTAGCAATAAAGTGTAAAAAATTCTTCAAAAATAAACATGGAATAATATGCACTCAGATCATTCAAGCAGTTGGTATATTTCTTCTGTCAATAATACGAATATTATGTCAAAAATGCAGTAAGGAAGATATGTCTATCTATTGTCGTTATTAGTGATCTCAGGAAAAAGAGGAATCTTTGCTATGTTTGAACAATGTTGGCGGCGGTGATGCATGTGAGGAAACGGTATCGTTCGACTGTGCAGGGGAGAAAAATGCTGCCGAAGATATGGTAACAAATTTTCAGATTTTTTTTAGTGTTTCATTCTATATATTTTCTATGCATTTATTAAGCTGCAATAAAAAAAAGTGGTCGTATAATTCAAGGTTAAGTTTAGACCGACGATGTTCATTTTGAGTTTCAAAAAGAAGCCGACTCAACTGTGACCATGCCAACTCTAGATGATGGCAAACTGGAAGAGAATGTCAAACTTGTTATTATAAATGAGGTTTGTCCAGTTCAAAAAATGTTTGTGCTAGAATTGATCTAATGTTCTAAACGAAATCAAGAATGAATTTTTGGATTGTAAGGATTAAATTTAAAATCTTGTATGAAAAATGGCAACGTATTTTGAATTTTTTCAGAACTAATGTCTAATCTGCATAAAACTCTAATGAATTTACCTGCTTTCTGTCCATCCATAAGAATCATTAATAGATCATTTTCCTGACCGATTGTGTGACAAGTTTGCAATTTTAGGAAATCGAAAAAACTGCATCGAATATAGCAATGGAAGTAGATAAGAGCCACGAAGTTCGTCCTATTTCTGATGAACTGAAAATGAAGGCCGCAGGATTTGAAGAAGGAATAATCAACATGAATGAAAAACATGTTTCGGTTGATGGGAATATTGACCCGAGTCAGACTTCTGATAAGGTTGTCCTGTTTTTGCTGCTCATACTGCCAATACCTTCCTCAATCCTATGGCAGAGAATATCTTCAAAGCATTTCAGATCTGAGCTTCTACTTTAAGCATCGCATGTATGGATTGATTTCCCATCAATTTACAGGACAATAACATGGACAGTAATTTCATTTCGAATTTTATTGATAGTTCGGAAGAAGTGGAAACTGCAGTATATGAAGGAAGTGAAGGAGAGAATACCGTTGATTATAATGACGGTTAGTGCAGTAGTTGCGCTGAGGTACATTACCAAAACTCCTGAGTTATAGAGCAATAACACTGTCATCGGTTGAAATCTCACCTCGACGTATCGAAGGCATACTAGTCTGCCAGTTGCCGATTAAATTATCTAGATAAGTCAGTTTAACTAGGTCACTGTGTGATCAATTGAAAGGATCCATTGCGTCAGTTGCCGAGTAAAATACTAACTAAACTGACTTATTGCGCGAAAAATCTTCACATTTATCATACGCTATTACTTGTTTTCTCTTTCAGTTTTTTTATTTTAGCTTCACAGCAAACATATTCTGATGTAGCACTGAGGTGGTTACTTCTAGATTGCTTGTTACTTGCCTTACCAAGACTAGCATTTTTAACACAGACGTATTCGTTGAACGTTTCTTTCTTTGTCTTTCAGGCGAAGGTGAACCGGATTCAGGCGTTAATCTCCAACCAGTGCGGAGTGCTTCGTCTGATCTGGATCCTACTAATTTCTTTGAAAGCGTGAGTGCATTAGTAGTTTTAAATCCCTTTAAATCATTTTGAGCTTTAAGATGTCCAACTGTCTGGTAACTGAGTGTAGTAATTTTCTTTGAAATAAAAAAAAAACAATTTTGTTTATATGCAAATTGCAGTTTACAAATTTTGCTCCCAGCGTATCAGCGATGAATTTATCGAATACTTATCTTGGCATGGATACAGAATTTGATGCATCTGCAATCTTCAATCTTTCTGCCGTGATGCAAAGTGAGTTGTCGTTAAATTTAAATTAAAACCCGACACTTGACTCAG